GAGTAAATTATTCAGATTTCCGTTCTGTGAAATTAAGGTCGAGTTTTGTAAGTGTAATTCCACCTAACAACAATAATTTTTTGGAGAAGGATTTCACCAAACGACAAGTCACTTTACTGAGGATGCATATGCAGTACAACTGTTTTGAAGAATAGATCTTTACTCTACACGTGGAGCTTTAGTTTGCCGCTAGATCTAAGTTAATAAAGATACTCATATGATGTATTGTGGTTAGATAAAAAGACTTGTATCTTCGGTGGAGTTCATTCAGTTTTTCACAGACTTGGAGAGAGAGAGAAGCTTCACCGGTGTATAGAGAGAGAAAGTGTAAGAGTGTTTGGGTTCCAAGAAAATTTGGGTAGAAATAGGTTCTTTATCTCCCATTGGGTATTTTCTTGAGGGAAACACTTAGGTCTTTTCTCTAGGAATCAATCTTTGTAATTGGGTGTGAGTTTTCTTTGTGATTGGTGAACTGTGAGGGTGTAATCTCTTCTCTAATTGTGGAATAGAGCTTTCTGTGGGATAGCTCAATGGGGATTTAAGACAAGTTTTCGTTCGAACCTCAGTGAAACAAATCATTTGTGTTCTTGTTGATTGATTTCTGAGATTTGGGTAATTTGAGTCTAGTGTTGGCAATCGGCTAACACGTGTCATGATCAGAGTGAATCAGGAATATTCATCTGATCATGACATGCGTCATATAAATAGAAAGCAATATGAACGATGAAAGGGTCCGATCCCTAGAGAATCAGAAGAGACATTGTTCTATTGAATTCTCTTCTTTTTTTGTCTTAGTTCTTTGATTCATTCTAGCCCTCTTTAGGATACTTGCCTGACTTGAGTGTCAGAATGTCTTCTGCAAGATAACCCCCAGCTCCCACCAGTTAAAGAGTGAGAGAAGGACAACAAAGAAGGAGATCCAACTAACAGGAATTGACGTTTGGAAATTTGCAACAGCGCATATCAAAATAAAAATCAAAACTCCAACTTAAAAGACTTTTGAGCAATATTATTGGTCACAAATCATAATCAATATTTCCTCACAGAGTTTGGTTGTGCTTTCCCGTGGCAAAACATTGGCTCTTCAAACTTTCTAAAAGGTCAAAAAGTATCAAGTTAGAAGTCAACTCTAAAATTTTTCACCATTGGTTGTGCAAACTATTAAACAACTTACGACAATTACTCTCAACGACTCTTGAGATTATGGGAAGGAATGGAGTGAGGACGGTTTTTACCTCTTATGGTTAATATGAAAAGTTTACAAAAAATTACAACAACTTCATCTACCAAATGAATATTAGACAACATTAACTAATAACTAGGTGTCATATCTACCAACTACGACAAGAGTTTGGGAATTGTTGATAGTCTGCATTTGACCTCTTTAGAGTTCAGACGTAAGCTAACGCCTTGGGATCAATGAAGCAAAACTTGTAAAGTAAAGGGGAGTTTGATACGCGGTAAATTTCTGAGAAAGTCAATCCCATGGGATTCATTTTATTTCAATTTGAGATAATTTTAAAAAACAAAAATTTAAATAAGAATAAAACAGATAGAGCAAACATTTTTTTTTTTTTAAAGTTCACGCTTTAATCCTTTCCTCTCGCGCGGTCCTCTCTCTCTCTCTCTCATTTCAATCTCAATCCAGATGTGGACATTCTCTCTCTTTCTCGTTTAAAACTTTCATCTCAAACCATATTCACAGGACAGAGATAGCACAACGCTCACGGGCTAGGCGGTGGCCTCAAAGGCGAAAAATGACGGTGCTACAAGGGGTGAGGATGGTCTGTATTGCTCAGACTTCTGGAAAGGTTATGAGGGGATGGCCGTTGATTGAGTGGTGGGAACCGCTGCGACTTGAGCAGTGGTACAAAAGGTCTTCAATCGTGAGACGACCAGTGATGACTGGATAGGCTGATGGACGGCCATGGCAGGCGAGGAGGTGGACTGGGATGGAAACCTCTGTTGGGGTGGTGGGGCTGCATCGAGGATGGTCAAGAGTCATGGTGGGGTCTTGGGTTGGTGAGCTTCCGGCGACAATGCGTTGCCATGTTGTTCATGGGCTTAATTTTGACGTGATTACTAAGATTCTCAAGAATGTGAATAACATGTAGGGTGCGGTTGTAGTGACGGAATAGTAATAGGAATATGAATGGTAATAGTGATGGAATAAAATGAAAAGGAAAATTGATTTATTTGTTTGGTTAAAATTTAACAAACATTATGGAATGGATCATCATTATTTTTATTTTGACTAATAGGAATATGAATGGTAATAGTGATGGAATAAAATGAAAAGGAAAATTAATTTATTTGTTTGGTTAAAATTTAACAAATATTATGGAATGGATCATCATTATTTTTATTTTGACCAATTTATCCTTTAAAAAGTAATATAAAATAATCATTTGTCGAGTCTTCTTTTTTTCTTAAAAAGATTTAAAAAGGAAAATAAAAACCTCATGTTGTTTATGCACAAACGCCAGTGAAACACCATTAAAAGAAAATATTAAAAAAAACCATCATGGACGACAATATGTAGCAGGAGCACCCATAAATCTACACCACCATCGGTATCACGCGACAGCTCCACTCCCACCAGAATCGTCATCACCCTTCGGCGTTGCAGCGACCAATGCTCGCCGTCATCGAAAAGCTGTCGAGCGACGTTCAGTAGCTTTCTGGAGAGGAGGTAGAAGGACATGTTTAGTGATGCTAGAGAGACTTGTCCTCATCTTTAGATCTACACAATGTTTTTTCATATCAATCCTCTATATCTAGATCTTGAGATTTTTGTTGGATGGTGGGTCTAGGCAAGGAGGATAGTTTGGGCAAAGATGCCGAGAGAAAGCGACGATCTGGCGAGAGTTGCCGGGGGAGCGACGACGGCAAATCTACTAGCGAAGGTCGGAGGAGATAGACTATGGCAGCAGAGGAGGGATGGGATGATGGCCGGTTAAGTGGCGTTCTAAAAAAGAAAGGAAGAAAAAAAGGATAATTATGAAAAAAAAAACTAAAAACACCTGAGAATGGCCATTCCTCCCACAAATGGAAGGAATGATGATTCAACCATTTTGGTAGAAAAGTCATTCCATCAGAATGACTATTCTTGATTCTAAAACAAGCTAAACATCATACTTTCATTTTTTTCCATTCCATTCATTTTCTTTCCTCCTAACCAAACGCACCATTAATTGATTGGGGTTCAAATTACCCTAAATTGAGTAAAGTGAATTCCATATGATTAACTTTCTCGGGAATTAAAAAATTGAAATGCTGTTATTTAATATGAAAATTTGATTAATTTTCATACATGTTCTTAAGATTATTGTGTATCAAACACCCTCTCAATCGTTCTTCACGTCAAGACCTTGAAAAGTGTCGTCTTCTCTTTTTCGTTCATCTCAATTAACCGTCGTACGTAAACGAAAGGATGACTTTGGATGAAGTCTTTTCAACCGCAAAAAAAGAAACCGCATGAGGGTTGGTGTAGAATATTATCTTCAAAAAAACAAAAGTCGGATGAAGGATGTGTATTTCTTTTATAATATAAAAATTAGCAAGTTGTTCTTACGAGTAAAGGGAGTAAACGCCACGTCGTTGCTTCTGCATGGTTGTTTGTTTTTTCATTTAGAAACGACATGTCATTCTTGAAATGAGAAACGACATATTGTCTGATTTCTAAGTTTACTGTCGTTTGAGCTAAACCGTTTTAGCTCCAAATTTCTCTTCTTTTCAAGGAAAGAAAAGTTTCTGTTCTTTAAATTGGAAAGACATGTCAGATCTTATTTATAATGATGCCATCACGTTATCGACGTGTCAATCGTATTGTCACTTCTATCGTTCACTCTATATAAAAAAGTGTCGTTCTTCCAGTTAGCGAAATGTCGTTTTGGTATTAATTTGCTGCCTTAAGATTTACTGTCGTTTATTCAAATAAACGTTGTGTGGTCTTAATTCACAAAATTTCTTATGGTTTACCAAGAAAAACGACATGCTAATAAAATTTCAAAACATCCTAATAGTAATATGTGCGCCTAATTTAAACGGAAGCGGGAAGTCCATCGTTCTTTGTACTTTATGGTGAAGATTTGTTGTCGTTTAATCCAGTAACCAGTGGCGGAGAGCCATGTTGACCCTAGGGGCAGCTTTCCCGGCCGAAGTGGCTCCTTTACAAATTACATGTCGTTATTGCAGTAATTCGTCGTTTTAGTTTAAAACGATAGGTCGTTGCAACAAAAATTTTGTACTATTTAACGGGAATATCTTATATGTACGATTTTTTTTATAGGATTATATTTGGCGATGTTGACAAACCGTATATCGGCATATCTCTGAAATTGGATATGTTCCGCTAATTTTCTACATTCATTTTAACGCTTTATACACCAAAAAAGTTCTTTTAATATTGTTCTATGATTAATTGTTTTTTTTTTTTTTTTGTGAAAAACAATTTTGAATTTTTCTTGACTGCTCTATGAGTTTTGGTTAGTTTAGTTAATAATTTTATACGTTAAATTGATTTATGATTTTTTTACAACTTACTTCGATCATGAAGTTGTCATACCATATATAAACATCATTAAGGAATCTAAACATAGGGCTTGTTTAGAATGGCTTAAAAAAAGATGTTTTTCGTTTGTTTAGTCTAAAAGATTCTTTTGAGGTTGTTTAGATGAACAACATAAAAATACTTTTAATTTTTATCAGCTCTTTTAGAATAAGTCATTGCTTAAGTACTTATAAAAAAAAGAGTTTATGAAAACTTTTTTTATTTACTTTTTTAACTTTATATTTGTAAACAACAAATTAAAAATTTCATCAATAACTTTTATTACGTTACTTTTCGTAACAATAAAAGTTTTTTACTTTTTACTAAAAATTCTTCTAAAAAAAAACTCTTTTTTATACTTAACACGTTCAAAAGCTCTTCTAAAATAACCGTCCTAGTTCTGGGCCAAAAATCTTGGAAAGGAACTTCTCAAAACAAGCTTAGGATCAAAAGCAAAGACCTTCCTTGCCCTGAATTCGCCTATACTTGGGATAAACCTGAAGACATTTACAGCTTGACTGTCTAATAATAACAACAATGACAACAATAATAATAAATACATTTGAGGACAATAATCTGACGAGCATCACAAGAAACAACTCCCACACTCATTACATTGCACCAATTATCAGACTTGAAATAGTCTTCAAGTCGTCTTCCACACTTATAATAACAAACAATCATCATGGAACCAACTTATTCTCCTCATCATCTTCAGACGATTTAGGCTTCCTTAACCTGAAGAACCCAAAACCAGAACATTCCAATTGCCTCAATTTGAGTAACAAAAAGAGCACAATCCCACACCCAAATCCCAGAGCAGCACTAGACCCAGTAAGCGAAACCGCAGCACAAACCAGCATCACAAATGACTCTTCCGTCGAATTCATATCCCTGGAAGCCATAGCCAACTCTATCCCAGCAAAAAGCAATAGCACCCCAACAATCCCAATCGGAAGCTGATTCAGTATGCTCACAAACGAATTCCCAAACACCAGCGCCAGAACCAGCTTCCCGATCGCCAGAAACACCACCGAGGCCCCGCTCCGGCCACCGAATCTGTACTGCCCGGCCAGCCCGCCGGCGCCGTGGCACACCGGCATCGCCCCGAACCAGCACCCGACGAAGTTCATCACTCCGACGCTGATCGAAACTTTCATCGCTGAGGCTTCCCGGTCGGGGAAGAGATCGCCGGAGAGCTTGCAGACGGCGATGACGGAATTGAGAATTGAGAGCGGGATCTGCGGGATCGCCGCTCGGACGAATCCGGTTTTCCAATCTTCCCATGTGATCGTTAGTAATCGGATTTTCGACGGGCCGAACTTGAGGTCGTTGAAGATCGAAGGATCGCGAAGGAAACAGATTACCAAGCCGAACAAGAAGACGATCAGAGCAGAAGGAATCGAGGACAAAAACCGGAGTCTGTTGCGAACTCGTCGATGAGAGTGATCAATAGATGGGTGTTCGTGTTGTTTGTCGCCGGAGCCGGTGGTGAGAATGAGGAATAGGAGGGAGGAGAGGGCGAGGAGGAGGCCGTCGAGGCCGAGGAAGGAGCGAGGGGAGCCGGACTTGGAGGTGGCGAGGTCTTGGTTGTAGCGGATGTATTTGATGGCGGAGAAGGCGAAGGAGAGGCCTTGGGAGAGCTGGACGCCGCGGACGACGGGGAGGGGGATGAAGCGGTAGAGGAAGGACATGAGGCCAGTGGCGCCGAGGAGGAGGAGGACGGCGGCGGTGGAGAGTCCGGCGGCGGCGATTTGAGGGATGGTGAGGTGGGTGGAGCCTTCGGCGATGGCGACGGCGGCGATGGACTTCATGGGCTGGACGGGCATGGGGACGCCGAAGAGGAGGCCGGTGGCGGCGTTGTAGAGGGCGGTGAAGATGAGAGTGGTGCTGAGGTCGAGGTGGGAAACCAAGGCTAAGGCTAGGACGATGGGGATGTAGGTGCCGAGGTCTCCCACGGCGCCGGAGAGCTCGGAGCAGAGGTTGGTCTTGAGGCGGATTGTGGTGGGGATGCGGTGGCTCCACTGCCGACGGTGGAGGAGTGGAGTGGTGGTGGAAGATGAGGATGAGGCCTCTTCCATAGTGGGTGGTGTTTGATTGTTGAGTTTTGAGGATTTGGAGATCACTTTCCAAATTCAAGAGAAGCATAGAGACTTTGGAGTTTGGAGATGAGAGGATTTAATTCGGATGATTCTAATTATGAAATTAGAATGATGATTTATAATTTTAAATTTAAATTATAATTTTAAAATTATGATTTAGAATTAAAAGTTTAAATCACTTTAAATTAAGAAGTGATGATTTTAAAATTATAAGTTATTTTGATTTTTATCACGTTAAATTTTAAATTATAATTTAAAATTATTTAAATTAAACACTAATTTAAAATCAATAAACCCCCACTAATTGAGGAAGTTATAAATAGCATTCTTGAGGGTGCATTTGTTTGTTGAAATTGATGTCCAGTGCAGTGGCAATCTGAGCATGCATACTTTTTAAGTTCTAAAAGGTATCTGAGAAAATCTTCATTGGCCAACTTAACGTTGTGTAATGCGTTGCATACCTTTTTTTTGGGTCATTTTTTATTTTTATTTTTTGAAGTGTACGAGTATATTATGCAAAAGCTAAAATTCAATGGAGCAGATTGAGCCAACAGAGGCTTAAGGAAAACCATGACTGGCCAAGTTGTCTTTATCTGTGACGTGAATACTTCGCTTTTGAGAATATCGATTAAATAAATCAACAATTATGACAATTGTTTTACTTACCAAAAATTATGATAATTGTTTTCATTGTTATATTTGGTAGGATATAAATATCCCATACGTGGAACAGTTTTTAGCTATTGTTATTTTTTATTGAGTATTTTTATTCATTCTGATAGAGTTAAAATCTCACTATTTATTTAGTATCGGTCATACTAAATTAGTACGTGAAACTTAATTTAGTGAGACCAGCAATTTAGTAATTTTATCCACATAATTTTTTTTTTATTCTTATCTAATCTTACTGTTAAAAACTGTAAAATTCAATCTAATGATCGGTCACAATGACAGGGTATGATTTTTTTTCATACTCTAAAGGCCTAAACCGGAATTCTCCAATCAATTATATCATTTTCATTTTATAATCGACCTTTGATATCTTTCATCTTTCTTTGATGTCAGGAAAAAAGAAATGGAAAAAAAAAAAGTTCTCTTTCATAATTTCGTTGAATAAACAATTGAGGGTACGCATTTTGCAATCTGTTTCAGAAATCGGCATCCTTTCTTAGCTGTTTATAAAATATACGCCCAATCAATCTCATAATTATAATATCTGGTTGGATGAATTTTGTTGCTGTTTGTTTTATTTTACTATCTATTTTCCAACTGAATTCTTCAATTTGTTCGAAGTGATAGTATTTGCGGGTAATAGTTTCGTTTGCTCATATAATAACCATTTCTACTGCACGGGAACAAATGAACTAAATGGCATTTAAAATAAATCAAGCATGTCATTTCTTGTTTTAAATGAAGAAAACGCAAGTTAATGTTAATGTTATTAGGTTAATATTACAGTCCTTATTCATCCTTTTAAAGGATGTACAGTAGCTTAAGATTAGGTAGCATAGTAATAGATTCCATTCTCATAATGGACCACAATGCAAATATATCATGCAAATGCACAAACCTCAATGATATATAATATTGGATGATTTGATATTGATGAATTAAAATAAGGCAACACCAAGTTGGTACCAAGTCAATTATGTGTCTATTTTCAGTAATTACCAAGTGAGATGAGGACCTTGAGGTGGTTAAAAAGATAGTTGGGTGATGCCAAAGCGATGCTCCTGGTTTGCTTTATAGTATACATTTATCAATAAGACGTTAGAAAATTTTTCATGCTATTTTCTACCTTCTCCCTTCATCTTTATCTTTTTCGGGGGGAAAAAAAAGTATACATTTATCAATAAGACGTTAGAAAATTTTTCATGCTATTTTCTACATTCTCCCTTCATCTTTATCTTTTTCGGGGAAAAAAATAAAGAGATAAATAACTCTTAAAATATATGAGTCTTAATTTTTTATTTTTTTTTATATTTACACTTTAATTAAAGAAATATATTAGTTAAAATAGTATTAATTAGAAATAAAGAGTAAAAATAAGGAAGAAATAAGAAAATAAGCCAAGACTTGAGATGGATTAAAATTAATCGGTCAATAGTTTACATAAGTTAATAAATAGGTCAAATTATTATTTTTGTCCAGAACTTATCTGGTTATGAACCATAACTTGACAAGTTATTGACGGTTTTTGTCCATATTTGTCTGGCTATGGACCATAACTTGACAAGTTTATCTATAACTTATCTGATTATAAACTATAACTTAATAAGTTATAACCTATTAATTTTTATAATTAAAAATTAATCTATATACTTTTTTAAACTTTTCATATTGACGTATTTTCTATTATTTTCGTAAAAATAAAATAAATAGTGAGTTCGCCATCTTTTTCTGTCAACGTTCCATGGGTAATGGGAGCCCAAAACTTCCAAAAGGAGTCCAAAATCCAAGCCCAAATTCGGGCATAAAACTAGACGGGCCTGGTCAGGCAGTTTAGAGCGAGGTGAATAATATGGATGAGAAGTGCTATTGGTTTGAATTTTGGGCTGAGTTTGAACATAACAGACGCATATCATTGATTATTTGGTAGGGACGAAATGCACTTGGTGATATGCTGAAAAGGGACTTTATGATAGCTTTTGTGTTTCACATATCTTTGTTTCTTGTTCAAACCATAATCATGAAGGAAATCATTGCTTATTTTGCTTGAATACTGGAAAATACAAACATGCTCAAAACAGAAATAACCTTGGTCTCTTACTTTACTAGCCTATAAACATTTGGTTCTCAATTAATACAAGCACTTTTAACTACCGTTGTTTTGGAACAAACTTTACATGACAAAACCAGCTAACCACTCTTTTAACATTCAAAGCTTTCAAGGCTCAAATTGATAGCTAAAGGGTGTGGAATTAGAATGGTTATGTTGATGTTGGACTTTCGTGCTTTTTTCTTTTTTTTTTTTTTTGGAGAAAAATAAAAGGGCCAAAATAATTTGAACGTTCCCTTCCTATTTTCTTGGATGCTTCCTAGAAAAGATAATTACAAGATTGTGCAAAAACCTTAAAAAAAAATTAAAATTGAGTGAAGGTTATTTTGGTCATAAAAAAAGTGACAGAATCTCATCACACACACACACTCTCAAGACTTTAGTGACCAAGATTTGTTGATTGTATTTATTCCTGTGGACCAACCCATTATGTAGCCGTTGCACCGCTTGCCTACGTGGCACCAAGAATTTGAAGTTTCGGAGTCGTTTATAAAAACTATTATAAAAAATTAATGTGACCGTTAACTTCTATTCTTCCTCGGCAAAACATTAGTATAACCTCCCCCTGTGTTCTCTCCCCTGCAAGCAACTCAAGGATTCTCTGAAGCAGCATAGACGACAACAATGGCTGACGAGTACGCTTTCACTGTAGAGGAAATGGCGATAGACGGTACCGTCGGATACCCGAGAGCTTATGCGAAGCTCTGCCGTGATCGGAGTGCTGGTCCGTGCGCCCATGGTCCTCCTTTTACTTTCATGCCTTACTGTCTTCCAGACCACGAGGTATGCAATTGACTTTCCTTTTGTTTGTCTGAAAAAAAAAAAAAGACAATGGTGAAAAGAGAGAAGAAAATTTAGTTGCGCTTTGTTCTGGTTCTTTTTTTGTAATTTGATTGGGGGAATATTTGAAAAAGAAAACATCTTAGCTTAAGCAATTTAGGCTTGTAATGCTCTTACTGTTTGGATTTTTTAAAGTGGGAGAATTATGACTTTGCTTGATGAGTTTATTCCACAGGGGGATTTCGATTAATTTGAGTGATTATTTGGTAACTGGGTTTTTCCTAGAATTTGAACTTTGAAAATTGTATAACTATAAATTTTGCTTTTTTTTAGTTTCCTTTCGTAACTGAATTTTTGAGGAATTACATGATTTTCAGGTCATGAGAGCAAGGGAATTAGATCAAATTTTCCCCATACTTGACCCAAAAGTAAAACGAACTGCCAAGCCCAAGATATTTTTTAGTCTCTTGTGGAAGCAGCTTAATCACCTTGGGTAAATTGCACTATAAACTTGTCTACATAATTTGACCTCAATAATGAACAAACTCTTGAGACAAAAATTCTGAATGCACTTTTACTCTTTTCGGAATGCCGGCTTTGATCCCGCAGTAATTCGAGTGGATCCATACGGAAACGTCCTATACTATCATGCCGATTCGGCGTCTCCTCTCGCTTGGGACATAGATCACTGGTTTCCATGCTTAAGTACATAACTGATCTTTGACTCTCTGTCTCTTTCTCCTCTTTACACTTAGTATGTAATTGTGGTACTTAACCGAAAATACAGGAGGAGGTTTAACTGTGCCAAGCAATCTGAGGATATTACAGTGGCAAGCCTGCAAGAAAAAGCACAACAAGCTAGAGTTTCTCATTCCATGGTGGGATTTTCAGTTGGGCATCTCTGTAAACCAGTTCTTGTCAATCTTTGCTTCTGCCAACTCCGATTTCAGGTGGTCCAAATTTTTTTTTTTTCAAATTTTTGGCTTTCTTGTGGATTAATATTGGCAGGCATGCAATTTGAATGAAAACATTAGTTTGTGACAATCTGTTCTTCAACAAATCATTGGCAGGCACAGGGCGTTCTCTTTTTTGTTCTCTGAAGGTGAAAATGAGGAACTGAATTCTTCACAGGCTGTGAACTCTCATTCTTTTCCGCAGCATTTCGTCGAATCTAAAGAGAAACTGGGTCTTGCTCCGGCTGCCATCGTCACATCTAGGAGGGAGTCTTATGGCTCTTCATCAATTTTGCAATCTGTGGATTATAATAGGTTGAGGTCAAGTTCTCTTGCAATAGGTAAGCACAACGATGAGAAAATTATCATGCTTTTTGGTTTTTGTCCAAGATTATTTTAACACAATTGGTTGTTTTAGCTGCAAGAAACGCAAAGGCTAGTAAAGAGAATGAGAACCCAGACAATCTCAAAAACCCATATCAAGCTCTTGTCATGGCCAGAGATTCCCTCAAACAAAGAGAAGAAACTGCAAAGATGCTGGCAGAAGTACAGAAACTCGACGATGAAGTGAGCGATACAAGGCGAAAGAATGAAGAGGAAAAGCTAAGCATTCAGGACTTGGAATTGGAGCTGATAAAGCGTAGGAGGCGGGCGGAGAAGTGCAGGAAGCTAGCCGAGGCGCAGTCGTCATACAGAACCATGCTTGAGAAGATGATAAGAGATGCTATGCACCAGTAAGATTGATAAAAAAGAAAAATAATTTATAGATGTCAAAACTTGTTTCCCATAACTGATCTTTATTCATATTCTTCGTTATTGTAGGAGTGTGATTTATAAAGAGCAGGTGAGACTGAACCAGGCTGCTGCAAACGCACTGATGGCAAGACTTGAAGCTCAAAAGGCAATTTGCGATGCCTCAGAGAAGGAGCTGCACAAGAAGTATAAGCAAAAAGATGAGATTGAGAAACAAATAAGGCCCGAGTTGGAGCAAGCAAGGAAGAGATCAAGAATGGATGACACCTTGATTGAGGAGAGAGACCAGAAGCAGAAGCCCGTTCTTTATTTACCTGGAACCAGACCGCGAACTCCTCTGCACAAGGAACTGAGAGTTTTTCTAGAGGAAGAACATAAAGCATCTGACGCTAGATTATCCCCGACTGAAGATGAAAAGCGTTTTGTGAGAGCGAAAGAAGTGAACAAAACCGAAAAGGACTTTCCCATAGACGAACGCAGGGAGTGCGGTAAAGCCATAGTTGTCTTGGAGGATGACAACATAAATGAGCAGCATGGATATGGCACATCTCAAGTAGACGAGGAGAGGAAACACAGTTTTCAACTTCCAATCCCGAGAGAACCAGAAATCGAGGAAGATGAAGAAAGCAGGAAAGAGCGCGGCAAAGGGAACGTGGAGAGGTGGCTCCAAATGCTGTTAGAGAATGCTCAAGGAGAAGACTTGCAGGAGGAGCAGCCTCAACTTGACAAAAGTGAGAATGAGAAAAATATGACAACTGATATCATCAGCAAACTAAATCTCAAGTACCCACAAAAGGAGGGAAAGAATTGGAAATCTCCAGATTCTGAAGACAGAAGAGAGGACATGATAACAAAACAGATTCAGAAGGAAAAGAGTGAAAAATCTGAAGTGAATAATGTCACAGAAGGAGTTGAAAGGAGAAGCCAGAGTGTTGGGAAGGAAAGAAAGCTTGTAAGGTGTGAGAGCGCCAGGGCTTTTCGCCGCATTCCATCTTCCCCGTCTATTATCTTGGGCATGAAGAAAGGTGTTGAGTGCATAAGAAAGAAGCCCATGGTTAGTGGAGATGATGAGGGTTATGAAGAGCAGCAGCATATCATAGGAGGGAATAGCTTCCTCAAGTCATCCATTAAGACCATCAAGAAAGCAGTGAGAATATGAGAGTTCAGTTCTACTTTATTACCTATACATATGCATCTGATCAGTCCTCATTTTTTTCTTTTCCTAGAAAAAAAATATTTTTTCCTTCCTGTGTTAATGTTGAAAATAGCAGTGTGAAATTTAGGTATTATTTCGTTTGTAATAACGGCTTGTTGTTTTAATAGAGTCAGTTTCCGTTTCTTCAATCTATATATGCGTTTACAATTCCTCTAGTGGTAGAACTTCATTTTAGTAATAGTCCCAAACACATCATATTTTTGATAAATTGATATGCAATTAAAGTGATACGACCCATGATGTATTTATGTGAGCAGCCGGTGAAATCCAACATGACAAAAAATTGTTTCCTGAGAAAAGAAAACCGAGCATTTCAAATAAATATCTCATCTGTAACTTTAAATATCATGAACTGTTAAGCTTTTATAGAGATTTCTATTTTTCTCTTGGTAGAGCAAGGTTACTAGAGTAGAAGATGAGGTGTTTCTGAGGTGAACAAAATTTCCAATTGAAGCCCCGATAAGATAAGATGTTTCATGTAACTATCGTTTTTCTTTTTAACAATTTCGTCCTTAGATGTCGTTTTCAGCTACCCTAAAAAAATGTCGTTTTGCACTTGCTTTTCATTTAGTGTCATTTTTCACTTTAATTGTCGTTTCTGCTTGTTGAACAAAATTACAAGCCCGACACAGCTCACCACCTCGTGTTATGCTAAGCACAGCCCATAAAAATCTCGTGTCGTACCGTGTTTGGCCTAAAATTTTACGTGCTGTGCCATCGTGCTCGATGAGCAGCCCGGCCCAATTAACATCTCTACTTTTTCTAGAACAAAACGATTGACTAATTTGATTCCGTTTGTCACTTTAGCTGCTAGGTAGTTGGCTTTTCTTAACTTCAAGAATTAGTTGTTTGTTTACTAATGTTATAAGCTACAACTAAGAAACTTATTTCCATAAATGAAAAAAAAAAAAAAAAGTAAGAAGCTTATTAGGGGAAAAAAAGAGTAATCAATTAATCTAACAGAAATAGTAGAAAATATGCCAATATAAAAAGCTTAAGAAAGTATATAGGTCAACTTTTAGTTATAAAAATTAATAGGCCATAACTTGTCAAGTTTGTTCATAACCAGATAAGTTATGGACAAACTTATCAAGTTATGATTCATAGCCAGACAAGTTATGGACAAAAACCGTGATTTATGGACAATAACTTGTCAAGTTATGGATAAAAATAGTAATTTGGCCTATTTATTAACTTATGTAAACTGTTGGCCTATTAATTTTAATTCATTTCAAGTCTTGGCCTATTTCCCTCTTTCTCCCTTAATCTAAATCCAAACATTCGACATCATCAGAATTAGATAACTAAATAAACATGTGATATTGCAGGACTTATTACAAAAACAAACGAACAAATATAATAATACATACATATGACATAGTTAGCACAACACGGATCAGTCGTTAATTTGAAACCACGTCATCACCATGAACATTCAATCAAGACATGGATCTCCTCCATTTGGGTGGGGTCCTCCCTCTGACCAGCTTGGTTTTCATGTTCATCATCGGCGCTTGTCTCTCAAACCCAACCACGTGATGATGTTCATGATCATTATCACCTTCATCATGACTCTCATCGATCTTATTCCCAACCACACTCACGGCCGTACCGCTCTTGAAGGAAGGCAGGAGCCCAAACCTCCTCCACTTGAAGAAGTAGCCTCCTCCCTGCTTCTTCTCCTGCATCCGCTCCATCTGCACCTGCATGTTGTTGCACTGGCTCTGCAGCCTCAGCACGTCCTCCTTCAGCCGCCGTATCTCCATCTGCTGCACCGACATTTCCCGCTTCGACATGCACCGCGGCTCCAGCCCCAGGTTCGGGCTCCGCGTCCCGCTGAACGAGCCGCTCCAGTCGTTGATATTCCGAGAGAGCTTGGACTGCTCTGAGAAGAGAACTTGGATCACGGCTCGCACCGGAAGCCGTTCGTTCTGCGCAGCATGGAGGGACGCCTCCGGGGATAGTTTCCGGCTGTCAATTAGCCTGCAAAGGCTCTTCCGCTCGTGCTTGGACGCGCTTGGATGTGCCTGCATTTAAATATAGAGACATCATATATATCACGCATGTTTGCATGAATTATGTGTTATATTGATATAAGTTACTTGTGTATTAAATGACCAAAGTTGTTTCTATGCTAGGATTATACACACACACACACACACACACACACGCATATAATTATAAATTTATTTACACGACCAATTGAGTTTAGGGAAGGATAAAAAAATTGTGTATGACATCCACAAATTCAGTAACTTAAATTTTAAGTAAGGTGAGGAAACTGCCAGAATATTCAGTAACTCAAAAAGTTACCAAGCGAGAAAAGAATGGGGGAAAAATTGCAACCAATTGAATAACACAGTACAGACTAGAATACAATCACTCGCCATTTTTTACCCGGCTGCGATGGTGAGGGACAATAAAAGAGCAAAATTTAGGAAACAATATGAAAAAGGCTGCAGTGGATATGAAGGTCAAATATGTCAAGTCACTTTCGGTGCTCTAGTAATTCTCCAGATGAAGAATCACAGGCTAGTGACAACACACGACCTTTCCTTGACCCACAGATCCCCCAGACAGATACGATTCTTAATCCTTAACAGTAACCAATTAGTATACCAGTAACCAAACCCAATCAACCATAACACACGTAAATTTTGTTAACTAAGTGTGCTTACTTTAAGATAAGTATCAACGGCTCGGTACAGCCCATCGTCCATGGCACGGGCGTAGCTAGGGAGAGCTCCGGCGAGCGCCACAAACTCCGTCATGGTAAGATTAGCGTCCACCGCCGCCTCCGACAGATAAGAGTCGACGAGCTTGGCGACCTTGACGAGCGCGGCTCCGCTCTTGGTGGCGTCGTCCAAGGTCACGAACCTCTTCACCAGCCGGATAACAAGCTCCATGTCAAGCAAAGTCCCGCACGTGTGGCTGAACGAGGGTATCATCAGCTCCTTCAGCGACGCCTGGTCGAGCTGCCACGAGATTCGCCGCTCCAGCTCCGCCCGGTAGGTGGGCTCCACGCCGACCATGTTGGCCGTACGGAGCAGCCGGAGGAGGAAGTTGCAGGGGATAGAGTCCTTCTCCGGCGGGAGGACTCCGACCAGGGTCTCCACAAAGAACCGCTTCCGCATCCACAACGCGGTGACGCTCTCCGGGGACGATTCTTCAAACACAGCGGCGGCGGAGGCCTTGTCAGAGGAGGTAGTGAAGGCGGAGGAGTCGCCGGAGAGATCAGGGAGCCACTTGCAAGCATAGTGGGTGATTATGGAGCCGATGAGGTCGGGGCGTACGCCCTTGGCTTTGATGCCGGAGAGGGTCTTGACGAAGTAGTCCATGTCGAGGATGCAGGCGTCGTCAAACCAGCACTCGGAGGCGAAGTGGTGGGGCCCTACTGGTGGTTTTCCCGGGAAAGTGACGGAATCTTCATGCACTACTGCTAGGTTGTTATTGATGCTGTTGTTCTTGTTCATCATGGTTTTTAGAGTGTTGGCAGTTGGAAAAAAGGAATGCTATATATAGAAAGAGTGAGGGTTGGGTTTAAGGTAGTTTTCTTTTATGGTACTATTGGAGTTGTTATACTAGAAAGAAGTTTTATACGTGGGACTTGCTTCAACTGGGTTAACAATTTAATGAAGAAGAAAATAATTTTTTGGGATCATTAAAATGGTATTGAAGAGATGGTGAAACTAAAAACAGAGATTCATCATGTGGCTAAGAAAATCAATGGTTATTTTGGTTTCTTTCATCTTCTTGACATATGGAGCTTCAAAAGAGATGGAAAAGGAGAGAAAGATAAGAGAGAGAGAGAGAGAGAGAGAGAGAGAGGACAATTCTTATTAATGCAAATATTCCTTACTATGACATGCAATGCCAGATTCTCTGGCATTGAAAAACAAATTTAATTATAGCACCACCCAAGAGTGAAAAGGACTTGAAACAAACTCACTCCCTAGTATTCTCTCATTAACAAATGAATCCGGTAAGAAATGTTTTGCATGAGCATAGGCGTATGGTGCATTCTTAAGGAATAATATATTATGCTAACCATATATTTGCTTTGCACAAAGATATCAATGATTATTTGATTTCCTTCTATTTTGGGGAAAGCTCTGTCATGAAGTAGATTTCCTTATCAAAATAAATTGATATTTGGCTATAAAATTATGGGTAAGGCGGGTTTAACGAATGAGGTTTTTTCTTCGAGAACAAAGAAAGAAACAAAGAACAATCCAGAAATGCACAAAATGAAGAAACTAATTATTATATATTTTGCCCGGAACTAGTGGACGGCGGACGCTGCCAGATTTTTGTTTTGTTCAACAACTAACTCCCGTGAATTTCTGTTTTGTTTTGTCTTCGAGCCAACGTAAAGTAGCTTTGGACCAACAAGAGCCCATATTTCTAACCCGCAAAATGATCCATAATGACGGCCCATAATGTCCAGATCATAAGCATAAAGAGATCTGCCCACCACAAATGTCCATTGTTAAGCTTAATGGGCCTACAGAATATGAGATGTTCAATAAAGCCCGCAAATTGTTGTTCAAACTTATCCACATAAAAAAGATACATTAAGAATTATATTATATTAATAACTATAAAATGAACAAGGGTATTATTAAGAATGATATTCTATTAATAACTATAAAATAGACAGAGTAATATAATTGAATCAAAACATATTACAAACACAAAGTTTAAAAATGATCATTTCGTATAATTACTTTTCAAGAAAAGCACGCCCAAAAAGAATTGCCAATTTCTAAAATAAGTGGGAATTCACGCAATCTGTAGTATTTCTGTTGTTTACTTTCCTCTTTTGCCATAATAATTATCATATAAAAAAATTAATTAAAGTCAATATAAATGAAATGCGATACTACAAACTTTTGTGACCTTAAACTAAGCGAACAATACTTTTTCTCTGTTTTTTTTCTTTTTTTTTCTGATTCTGAAAAGAACTAACAGTGGCCATCTTATCTATGGAAAAAGAACTGGCCTCGCAAAGGCGAGTCACTACCATACTTGTAAAACAGAAAAAGAGAAAGCAAAACCCTACCACCAGTAATTCACCTAACATTTGGTTTTCTTATCATCTCTCATTTATTGATCCTGTATGGTGACTCAACAGAAGACTCAACGTTATTAAATGTTGCGAGGAGTTGAAGCCTCGGAGTCACCGGCTGTGGGGTTCAGTGCTGGACCGCTGGAAAGAGAACCATTCCCACCGCTTTCCTGAGAGACAACCGGGATCTTAACGGCTGCTCTTTCCATCTCCTTTTCAAGCTCTTCCTCCTGGCGCAAAGCGGTAAACTGGGTGTCTAAAGACCTCGCTGCCGCTAACCAAGCAAGAACGATGACCAAGAGTATTCCTCCAAGATAAGGAGTCGAATTTGCGAGTGACCCGAAGGTTAAGATCATAAACTGTTGAATCAAAGCACCACCGGACTTCCCCAATGGGTTGCACACGACATCAATGGCTGCCTTCCCTTTAACCTAAAAAGGAGAAGATTCCATGTGAGTTCAAAAGAAAATTATAAAAGTCCCAAATCTCAATGCTCAAAACTGTTGCTGGATTAACAGTATGAGTTACTAAGATAAATATTTTACTTTAAACACCTAAAACCAAGCTCGGTCTAAAATCCAAATCACGAGTAGCAAGAGAAATGTCCAAACCTTGGTGTCCTCGTCTAGGGGAATGTATGCCATTTCTTTGCAGGGGTCAAATAAACTGTACTTGGCACTCTTGCTAAAGATGTTCTGCATTGCACCCACGTATACGGCTGCAAGAAGAGGAGTCATCCCAAACTTGGCAAGAGTAGGTGCGAAGGGACCCCCAAATAATATCAGAGAAAAGAAACCAACTCCCGTCAAGAGCAAGACTGTAGGTGTGATCTTTGCGGCAACTCCCCATCCATATTTATCAAAGATAAACTGACTTAGCAACATCATCGTGAAAGTTGCTATTCCAGTCGCAGTTGAGAAGTCACCCATGAAGGAGGAGTACTCGTTCGGGCTTGGAAACTACAAATATCATGGGGCAAGGAAAAGAGAAGTTTCAATAACTAGTAAACCAATTGACACCCAAAATCAGTCAAGTCAAAAACATTTGAGCTTCAATTTACCTGAGCTTTGAGCTTTGATTTCCATGTAACTTCAACAAGGTTAATACTAATACCATATGCAACAACCAAAGTGGCAAGATCTCTAATGTATCTTGAAGACACCAAAAATTTCAAGCTCTCCATTGTCCCCATCTTTGGCTTCTCCTGCAAAAGGCATTTAACGGTAAGGAAAATGTATACTGCAAATACACTACTAGCAATTTTTACAACAATCTGTTTTACACGAAGTCTTTGACAACAAATAATAGTAACAACCATTTAACCCTTCATGGGAAATGACATTTCTATTGATTAATTGAGGTAAATAGGATAAAAAAAAGAATACCACAAACAGCACAGCTCCAGATTAATATTTAAGACTTAATTAACAAATTTATTAAGGTGATTGACATGGATCCATATTCAATCATCTAGACAGAATCTTACCTTCTTCTTCTTACTGCGGGTTGGGAGAGGAACATACAAGTTGACCCACCAATAACAAAGACAGATTGCGAGCCCCATCAACACCACAATGCCCATCATTGCCTTAAGAGAAATGGCCCAACCATCAACTCCAGGACCCAATGCTTTCCGCATGTTAGAGAAATACTTCACCGTCCGACCGGAGAAGATAAGAGCAACGTTTGCCCCAAGTCCAAAGAGTGGATAGAATCTTTTTGCTTCCTCAACAGTTGTTATCTGCAATTGGAGCATGCAACATTTGTAACTAAATACTTGTAACTAAATACTCAACTGCAAACAATCAGATGCACACCATAAATTGGCCAAGGAAACATAGACAATAAAATAGATAGGCTAATGAAACTTGATGAGAGTATGTTTGCCCGAGGAACATAAACAGATACAAAATGGACAACATTCATAATTTATAAAGTAAGCTAATTCTTTCAACAAGATTAAACAGGGTTAATATTCTAAGAGTACTCTTACATTTAGATAACAATATCAGAGCTAATTACATTGCTAAAACATATAGTTTAAAGTCAAATTCAATCTGAATAGTAAGAAAACATCCCAATCCCATAAATAAAAAACGATATAGGGGAAGGAAAACAGAATAAACAAAACCAAAGAAAAAAGAAGGAAAAAAAAAAGAAATCTCTTGGACAAATTGACAAAATTCGTTAATCACAAAGTAGACAATAAATGGCAAAAAAAAAAAAAAAAAAAACGTCTGATTAAAAACAAAATTAAAAGCCAAAATCAAAAAAAAAAAAAAAAAAAAAAACAGAAACTTCAAACTACCTGATTGGCAAAACCCCAGAAGAGCACCGAAATGACAACGCTTCCCCAGAGCTCAGCCATGACATAGAACAAACAGAAACTCCAAATTCTCATAATCGCAAGAGGCCCAAGAAACCTGGGTCCGAGGATGTTGAGCAGCTTATCAGCAAAGGCCTCGGGGTGAATATAATTGCTGAGAGGGTACAAAACAAACCCAAAAGCCCCAAAGAAGGCTATAAATGGCACAATCACGGAATAGAAAAGCGCCTTCTTGGACAAAACATTCGCCAACTTGGTGTACAACAACATGAACCCAATAGCCATCGGCAAGTTCACCCAAGTTTTGAGAAACGGAATAATCTCCGCACTGCTCCCTTTGGCCGTCACGACAAGGACGTCCTTCGTGTCTCGTAGGATTGTGTAGTTGAAGAGAATACAAAAGAACATCAACCCAAGTGGGAGAATCTTCTTAAAAGTCGTGACTTCGATACCCAGAATCTTCGGCGGCTCGGCTTCCGAGAAAACCGGCTGCCCATCGGCGGCGGCGGCGGCTTCGGCCTTGCAGACGAACAAGTTCCGGTCTGTGGAGCCAAAGCCGTGGGCTTTCGGTTTCGGCGCGAAGGTTTGGAATTTCCGGAACCCATTTGAGGAGAGAGAAAGTCCGGGGAGGGGTTTGAGCTTTGGAGAGAGAATCCTCTGTTTCAGGCCCTGTGATGGGGCCAAAACCCTGGGTTTTGGGTTGTGGGGAAAGGAGAGAAGCCCTTTGGTTTGAAGAACAGCCTCCATGTCTCTCTCTCTCTCTCTCTAAAACTCTTCAAGAAAATCTCTCAAAAAGTCCCTTCAAGAGGAGAACATGAAGAGAGATGCAGATAAGGTCGCTGGAAATGATTAATATATATTTTTTTCTTTCTTGAAGAAGGGAAGAGAGATACGATTAGGGGCAGTAGAAATATCTTTTTATGTATGTGTGTGTGTGTATATATATATAATTACCAAACCCTGGAGGAAAAATAAAAATAAAAATCGGGAGCAAAATCTTGAAAATGAAAATTCAGAAATTTCTTAAAAAATTCTGGAGATAAGGAGAGGTCGTTTAAAAAAAATAATTAAATAAATAAGGAGAGGTTCTTTAAACGCTCATACGGTTGAGTTCAAAGCGGGTCTTGACATGAGTCGGTTAAATTCTCAAAAATTTGTTAACAACAAAGGCAAGTTTCATCATACCAGTTCATACAGATGTATGGTATTTGTGTGTGGTATTTATTATGATTTTTGCTTTTTTTTTTTTTTTGAGGAACTGATTTTTGTAATTATAAAATATTTTTATTATTTTAAAAAAAAATAACAGAGTATCCAAAAGGATCATAACAAGTGTGCAAAAGTATTAGGGTTGATTGATGAGTGAAGTGCCCAAAATGCCCTGATTTGGTAGGGGATTACTAGGAAACCTCCGAAAGATATTTTCTCTGTGGTTGCACTTTTTTTTACACTTTTTTGTTGGATGCATGGTCCACTGAAAACGACACGTGAGGCAACAAAAATTAGATGAATGTGAAGCCATAAATTTGCAGGGTTCTCGTGTTGTGTTTGGACAAGAAAAGGCAAAATATGATGAGTTTTTGGCTTCCTCTTTCCTAGTTTCCTTCCCCTCTCAAGTATCAATCGAGATATTTGGCCGGTGGCAATATCGGAATTTCCCATATTTTCATTTTTTATATTCCTTTAAAAAATTATATGGTAGAAAATACTTCACCTATAATGCGCATTCTAAAATGTAGAGATGATGAGTTAATTTATTTGTAAGAAATTTCAACGTTAATAGAATCTGTTATTGTATTTGATGCTTATTTTAATTAATAATAACGGACTCTATTCAAAAAGAAATGTAAAATTATATTAAGAATAAAAAAACAAATTTTAGAAAATACTGTATGTCAAGAATAAAATAAAATAAAATTTAAAAAAATATTAAACATCTTAAAATCTCGTTTATTTAACCGATTTGAGTTTTTAATTTTATGTTTCTACAGTAAAAAATTCTCAAAAAATATCACATCTAACTTTTTCTGTTACAGTAAAAAGCTCTTAAAAATGTCACATCTCAGCTCGAATTGAAAACTCGAATCCGCGAAGTGAACGAGATCATATTCTAATTTAAATTCTGAGAATTCCGAGACTTTAGTAGATTTTTCATTTTTTTTTTTAAAGTTCTCTATAACTATAACTATATTATTAAACGAAACTATAACTGAATATGTTGTTAAAAAGATATTAACTTTTACATATTAATATTAATATTAATATCTTCCTAAGAAAATGTCAATATGTATATCTCTATAAAGAAAAAGTAAAAATCACCACTTGCGTAACTAAGTCAAAAAGTTATATGTTACAGTTTTTTTTTTTTTTTTTTTTTTTTTTTTTTTTTTTTTTTTTTTGCTGGTGAAGTTGCAGCTGTATCTAGTGCTAGTGAACACGACAAATTGTTCACCGATTAAATATTAATTATCACCGATTAAAATAACGTGTTAGCACCCTTGTGAGGGGCAAAAGGAGGGAAGAAAAAGTGGTTGGGAATTTTCTTTCATTACAATTAACAACTTAAAAAAATAAAAATAAACAACTAGAAAGTCACAGATCAAACATTGACCATGTGCCAAATTTGTGGCCGACTGCATTGAGCATGCATATGCAACTATAGTTTTTCTTATTTGGGATGCATAAAGAATATACAAAGTCAAACTTCAAGTCTTCAATTCCGCAACGCATTTTTCATAATTTCATTATTCAATGCTTTAGCTAGCTACCCATAAACTCTTCCTGCGCATATTATATATAAATCCAAAGGATGCATCAATAACTGGACTTAGTGTTGAACATTTATATGGAACGAGTTTTTTTTTTTTTTTTAAATGTTTTGATACCAAATAATATCCTTTTTAACTAAATTTTATAAATGTGGTTTTTTTTTTAAACGTGGTTATTTTATGTTTATGCGAATTTCTAAACATCAATTCTCGATGGTCGGATTTCCTTCCTTGTCGTCCTTCTCTCACTCATTTGGCTTCGGGAGTTGTCATACATAAGACACTCTAAAACTTAAATCAAGCAAATATCTCAAAATGGGCTAGAATGAAAGAATTAAGACAAAGAAGAGAATTTAATAGAACAGTGTCTCCTCTGATTCTCTAGTGATTGGCCCCTCCATTATTCTCATCATTTTTTATCTATATGACGTATGTCATGACCAAATGAATATTCTTAGCTCATCATGATCATGATACGTCATCATACCTTTTCTTCTAAGGTTTCTCCCAGGATATCCCGCCTTTGGAATACCCTCGGAGGGTTCCCCCCTTTGGAAAGGTTATTTTTTCATTCCGTTATTCACCTTTATAGGTGTCACGCTTGGGTTGAACACATTTATTAAAAGAATAGTGGGACGTGTATCATTGTACGAAAATTCTCTTTTTGGTACAAGTCATCCCCACTACCTTCCTCAATCTTTGTCTATTTCGATCTTGTAGCATCGGAGTTCTTTGTCGACCTCGATCTCAATCTCAGTCTCAATCCATTTATCTCAATCGAGGTCGCGTTCTCCCTTGATCGAGATGGGTTTCAGTATGTGACTCAGTCAACGTATTTAACTTTGATCTTAATTCCTCATTCTTGATTGCTCTGTGACACATGTCGTGATCTCAAATGTCCTCGGGAAAATCCCCCAACATTTCCCTTTTTGAACTTTAAAAAAATGGCTATTTTCCTTGTGTCCTTTATGGGCTAAGTTTCAGTTCCATCACTACAAGAATAGTGACTTTAAGAGACCAACTCTTTTGCTACCAAAACATTTTTGGTAGCAGAAAACACACTTTTCGCTATCAAACTTTGGTAACTGAAAGTATCAAGGCTTTAGTTACCAAATTTGGTAGCAAAAATAACACAATCCGCTACCAAATATAATTTGGTAACAAATAACATGGCGGGAAAAGAATTTTGGTTCCCGCCAAGAGCTTTTTGCTACCAAAATAATATTTGGTAACAAAAACATAAGATTCTGCAACCAAAAATTTGGTAGCAAAATATGACTTTTTTGCTACCAAAATGTTTTGGTAACAAAAAGTTGGCGGGAAGTAAATTTTTTTCCCGCCCGAGGTATTTGCTACCAAATTATTTTTGGTAGCAAAACATATAACATTTGCTACCAAAATTTTGGTAGCAGAATCATGTTTTCTGTCACCAAAATTTGGTAGCGAAAAATTAAGTTTTTGCTACCAAAAACATAATTTGTTGCTACCAAATTTTTGTAGCAAAAAATCAAGTTTTTGCTACCAAAAAACATAATTTTTTGCTACCAAATTTTGGTAGCAGAAAACATGATTCTACTACCAAATTCTTATTTTGGTGACAAAAAGGCGTTTTTTGCTACCAAAAGTTGTGTTTGGTAGCAAATCATATAAAACATTAATATTTATATTTTGTGCTTGTATTTGTTTTTTTTTTTTTTCAATTTTCTATGAATATGTCCTATATTAAGTTTTAACAATCCATCCTAGTGTATTTTTTATAACAATTATTTGATAATTTAATTATTTTGTGTAGGTGTAGCAAGAGACATGTTCATATGTATATATATGTGATATTGTTAACTAAGTATATATTCCACATAGAATAGTATATAATTTCCTAAACATATCCAAAGCTTCTCGCTTCCACTAGTTATCTGATCGAAATAGAGTACTGACTACCGGAGATATTCGTATTATTTCGTCTGCATTAGTTTGAACTTGAATGTGTTAATTATACTCAATAAATTTTTAGAGGGATAATACACTCCACAAATATTAATCGTAACTTGAACCCTTGTATAGGTATGCAATTTTCGAAAGCACAACAGATAGTTTCTACCAAGTTGATTCTTCTTTTCAGGCTATTCCCTCTGTTTTCTATTTTTCTGGTTATTAACAATTACTTTATTCAGGAACAAATTAAAGAAAACGTTTATTGAAGTGAAGGACATTGTTGTGTATTTAAGACAAATCTCCAAGAACAGACCTTTGAAACTCTAATGTTAGCAGAAAACATGATTCTGCTACCAAATTCTTATTTTGGTGACAAAAAGGCATGTTTTGCTACCAAAAGTTGTGTTTGGTAGCAAATCATATAAAACATTAATATTTATATTTTGTGCTTGTATTTGTTTTTTTTTTTTTTTCAATTTTCTATGAATATGTCCTATATTAAGTTTTAACAATCTATCCTAGTGTATTTTGTATAATAATTATTTGATAATTTAATTATTTTGTGTAGGTGTAGCAAGAGACATGTTCATATGTATATATATGTGATATTGTTAACTAAGTATATGTTCCACATAGAATAGTATATAATTTCCTTATTTGATTGATTTTTAACTTTGAATAATGTATCTCAATTTCAAAACTTTTTTTTTTGTTATAATGTTATTAGAACAATGATTCTTAAATAATTTTTGACATTAAAACGTTATTTTTTTAATCTTTAATATATGTCTTTCTGGTACCAAATTCATATTTGGTAGCAAAAAGTATGCTTTCAGCTACCAAAATAATGTTTGGTAACAAAAAATATAAGTTTCTGGTACCAAATTTTGGTAGCAGAAAACATGATTCTGCTACCAAATTCTTTTTTTGGTGGCAAAAAGAAATTTTTTGCTACCAAAAGAACCAAAACATTTTTTTGGTAACAAAATAAAGAACGAAATATTGGTGAGAAAATCAATTTAACCTTAAAAATTAAACACACACACACACACACACATACACATCAGTTTCATTAAAACAAAAAAAAAGCCATTCCCCTTCTACCTCAGAATCTCTGCCGCCCGAAGAAGCCATTTTTCCCCTTCTTCAGAAACACTTCGCCATCTTCGCTCAATGCCAGAAATTCCTCCGCCTTTCTTCCTCTCTCTCG